AGCCCAATACTAACTTAATAATGACTCTCAGTAGCCTCAAAAACGCCTTTAACATAAATGTCCTTTAGGACCTTAACAACTTTGCCACCACAATGAAAGATGATCAGAGGATGGCTGGGCATGGTGGCTCTCACCTATAATCCCAGCACTTGGGAGGCTAAGTTTGGTGGGGGTGGGAGAGAAGGAACTACTTGAGCTCACAAGTTTGAGACCAGCTTGAGCCAGAGCGAGACCCCATCTCTAAAAAATAGCCAGGCTTTGTGGTGGATGCCTGTAGTCACAGCTACTTGGGAGGCTGAGGTAAGAGGATCACTTGAACCCAAGAGTTTAAGGTTGCTGTGAGCTAAGACACCATAGCACTCTACCAAGGGCAACCAAGTGAGACTCTGTCTCAAAAAAAAAAAAAAAAATGATCAGAGGCTCCCTACTGTCAAGTCTTCTTTACTCCTTGAAAATATCTGTTTCTGTCCTCTGTCTCCTACTCATTTGCTTATTAAAAAAGTTAATCACTACCCCTTATTCTCCATAATTACTACTCTACAACTGATAGTTTTGGTTTTTCTTTTTCTTGAAACAGTCTCATTTTGTTGCCCTCAGTAGAGTGCCGTGGTGTAATAGCTCACAGCAACCTCAAACTCTTGAAAATAAGCGATTCTCTTGTCTCAGCCTCCTGAGTAGTGGGACTACAGGTGCCCACCACAACACCTGGCTACTTTTATTTATTTTATTTTATTTTTGAGACAGAGCCTCAAGCTGTCCCCCTGGGTAGAGTGCTGTGGCATCACAGCTCACAGCAACCTCCAACTCCTGGGCTCAAGCGAGTCTCCTGCCTCCACCTCCCAAGTAGCTGGGACCACAGGTGCCTGCCACAATGCCTGGCTATTTTTTGGTTGCAGCCATCATTGTTGTTTGGCAGGCCCGGGTTGGATTCGAACCCACCACCTTAGGTGTATGTGGCTGGTGCCTTAGCCACTTGAGCCACAGGCGCCGAGCCCTGGCTACTTTTAGAGATAGGGTCTCACTCTGGCTCAAGCTGGTCTCGAACTTGTGAGCTCAGGCGATCCACCTGCTTCAGCCTCCCATAGTGCTGGGATTACAGGCATGAGCCATCTTGCCCAGCCTTGTTTGCTTGTTTTATTTCAGATTAATATGAGGGTAGAAATATTTAGGTTACATTGTTTTTGTTTCTAAGGTAAAGTTCAAGTTGCAGTTGTCAATATATATCTGTTGATTAAATAATTAGAAAGCAATGTATGAAGAAACTGCCTTAAGTGAATTAAAATTCTTTTGTTTGTTGCAGTTTTTGGCCAGGGCTGGTTTTGAACCCACCACCTCTGGCATATGTGGCCAGAACCCTACTCCTCTGAGCCACAGGCTCTGCCCTAAAATTAAAATTCTTATAAATGGAATAGAATTTTTTTTTTTTTTAAATTTGAGATAGAGTCTCACTCTGTTGCCCTGGGTAGAGTGCCATAGCATCCTAGCTCACAGTAAGCTGAAACTCCTGGGTTCAAGTGATCCTCTTGCCTCAGTTTCCTAAGTAGCTGGGACTACAGGTGCCAACCACAATGCCTGGCTAGTTTTTCTATATTTAGTAGAGATGGGATCTCATTCTTGCTCAGGGTGCTCCTGCACTCCTAAGCTCAAGTAATCTACCCGACGTGGCCCCCCAGAGTACTAGGATTATAGTCATAAGCCACCACACCCAGCCTTGGAAAAAAATGTTTGCTTCAAAAAGAATAGCAGAATACTGAGGCAAGAGAATCGCTTAAGCCCAGGAGTTGGAGGTTGCTGTGAGCAGTGTAACGCCATGGCATTCTACCCAGGGCGATGAAGTGAGACTCCGTCTCTCCCCCCCCAAAAAGAATAGCAGAATAATTCCAATGTCACTGTCTTATTAAAATGACAGGGGTATGGAACCGCAATTCCCTGAAGCTTTTCTGACTGCTGACAGAGAAAACTATTGCCCACCTTGCTCCCTTCCTTCAGGAAATAAATTGTACAGAAACTAGAGCGAGACTAGAAAGGGAGGACAGTGGAGAGAGGTTGCCAACAGCAACTAGACTGAGATCCTACCAGACAGGGCAAGGGTTCAATAATCACTAGCACATGTGCGGTATCTGAAGTGGTGATTCTGATCCAGACGCTGAAAACATTTATACAGTTTATATTATCCCTGACTCTGAACAGACCCATATATAAAAACCTTCTAGATTTGAGAGTGAATCAAAATGAAAATATAAAATTGGTTAGCATCAAAAGAATATCCCCTATTTCTCGTTCTCAAAGGAGAATAAAAAGTGTGTGTGTGTGTGAAATGATGTATTACGTACAAAGTAAAAAACATTAAGTTGGAAGAATTTTTTAAATGGTTGAGTTGTGTGAAAAGATTTCTCAATAAATGAGGTTATCCTAAAGAAGACAAAGGCCCCTATTTCTTAGGAAGTAAAATGATGAAAAATCATATACATACTGTTCGGAAATGGCTACTTAGATGGTCTAGTCTGCTAAATCTCTTTCCACAAGCTTGACATGGATAAGGCCTTTCCCCTGTATGACAACGCAGGTGGCGCTTTAGGTCCGCCTTCCGCTTCACCACATGCGTGCAGTACGGGCACTTGAATCGCATCCTTGGCAGATCATCTGTCAAGAGATCATATGAGGAAGTCATTGGAAAGTTTATCATAACAATTTTTTTTTTTT